ACTCAGGGGAGCCATAATGTGTTGGCTGAAAAACAAAGCAAAACCCCTCCTGAGCTAGAAAACATATAGGATAAATTTTCAGCTATTATTAAGAAATTACAATTGTTGGATAAGGAAACCAAACTGAAAGGCAGCTGGTCCTCCTAATGATAGTAAATAAAATTCGTGAAGTCAGGTGCTTGTGCCTCATATACAGTCCCTGGCCAAATTATTACACGCCCTATAAGTTAACATTTTAATGCAATACGTTAAATATAAATACAAATAGCAAGTACATAAAAAATCTCCTGAATAAATAACCATTACATGTATCTTTAAATATAAAAGTATTGCTTATAAACTCGCGCAAAACATGTAATTATTAAAACACTACAGTGCGTCTAATAATTTTGTCTAATTATTATAATATACCAGTATAATACATGATATAATAAATATTCTATATTTATATAATATATCGTCTGATTTATCAAATCGTTGAATTTATATTATATATTGTCAAATTTAACCAATTGAAGCACAAACGTAAACAAGTGCAAACCGGTTTCAGTAGCGTAAAAATAATAAAACTGTATAGTATTACATAATAATTGAGGTTTTACATAGAATCTTATAGTGCGTCTAATGATTCGGCCAGGGACTGCATAGTTTGTTATAGAAAGGACTCCCCTTTCTACAAAATCTAAAGTCGTCTGCTACAATGAAAACAAGAAATATTGCATCTCAGAGAGGGGAGCTTCTCTCTCCCCTTTCTGTTGCCAACCCGAGTTAAAACCTGTCTTACATATTGACTCAACAATCCTACTTGAAATAGTTAAACCTTATTAGTATAGGCACCACCTCTGCTCCAGATGCATGGTGAGGGGAGTTCTTTCCATAGACATACTAGACCAAGTTTCATGGACATGCGTCCTCCAGAACGAATAATTGTGACCACAATAATAATTGTGATCACAATAGTTAATAATTATCCAGACTACAATAATTGTGGCCTGAACAGAATGTTTTTAATTACAACCACTCTACACTATTAGATAAGGAAAAGTTGGAAATTAATAAATAAAAAAAGTGCAAAACGTGGATTTTTTTTTTCACGCGTTAACGAATTATGTTATATAGAATCATTATTTAGTTGCTGTTTATTTCGGGTTATAAATTCAAGACTCTTTAGTCGGGAGGCAAAGAGACCTTCTAAATCTTGGAATGCATTAGATATGTGTTGTAAACCAGCAAGTGTTTTTGAAAGTGGTGTATTTTCCGCAGAAGCTCCTTTTAGGTAAATAAATCGTAATATTAACTCAATTAGTTTAGTTTATATAGTTTAAATCACGAAGAAAAGAAATAAATAAAGTAATTCCTGCAAGCGAAACAGGGATCATAGAGGTTAGGACGGTATTGTGGCAAATCTGTCAACATTACTTTCCAGAGGAGCGCCCCCTGTTGGCTTAACATTAAACTAATGAATTATAAAGTGTAAACTAGAACGAATTGGCCGGGGAAAAATTTTTTTTTTTGTAAATGTAAATACAAATAAATAGTTTTATTTTCCTCTGATTATGTAACGTATTTATTCTTGTGCTTTCAGAGATTCTTGCTGTTTACTTATTAAGCATAAAAAAAAAATAAAAAAAATGAAGATCACTAAAACCAATGAATTTTTCATCTATTTAGGGATATTACTTTTATGGGATCCATTTATAAAATATCTTTTATTCCTAATTTAGAGACTTTTACACTTGTAATAATACATTCTTAGCATTCTCTGCCAATAACAGAAATTGGAGTCTACCGTGTTGAAAATGTTACGCAATTGTTTCCGTTAAATTATACGTTATCTTTAATTAAATGTTCGAAGTAGCTTAGTTAAACTCTTTTTGAATTATTATAATCGTTAATGCGTCTGAAAGAAACCATATACCTCATGGTCATAAACAGTTATTTTTGTTATTATCCTGAACAAGAAAGAACTTTTGGTAAATAATTATCGCTTGTAAGTCGAAGTACAAATTTATCGTATGATAAAAAAACAATATAACAAGTCAAGTTTTTGTTTTCAACTGACATAAAATAAAAATAAAGATCTTTTCGAATGGTTATCTTTACATGTCGCACCCCAGTAAGAACAGTGTCATAATTATAACATGCAGCATTTGAGAAAAAGTAACTTTAAGAATGCTATAAAACTTATTCTGAATTAGACACAAAACTGAAACAACTGCCACCGGCTGGATAAATTGCGAGTTAGAGATGTGACACTTTTTGAGCCCGAAGGGGCACTTAATACATATTTTTTTATTGACATAACCTCAAAATTGCTGTTGTTTGACTTGTTTCACTTTTCTTGCCGGGGTGTGATGTGTAAGTTGATAAACGGCCCTGATTTAATGACCTGGGAAGATATTGTGCTCTAAGAAATAAACCGAATCTAAACATATCGGGATTGCTGAGATTTTTTTTTCCTCAGTAAAACTTGCAGATATTTTTTTTCCGTATAGAGAAATGCCCGCATAATTGGAATTGTACGTGCGAACAAGAAAGAATGTGCCCTTATATTTTGAGTATCACTTCGTCTCGATATTCATCTTTAGTACTGCAAAAAGAAACAAAACATTGAATGTATAGGTGCGAAAGAAAAAGAATGTCATAGTTTTAAATAGTATATTTGTGAAAGAAAGTTATGTTATACAAATATCTTCAAAAATGCTCATCACAATCATTTTGTGATCACGTATATTAAGTTTTTAGCGATAGTTAATCCCTTAACCCTTTCCTTCTCGCTCCCGTGAAAATGACGGGTTAGAGTGTTCAGTAGTAACGCGCCAATAAGAATAAAACTAATTAATTTCTTTTGCCCGGAAAAATTTTTTTTTAATAAAATTAATTAAATAATTAATTAGATAAATTACTTTGTGCATGAATTTATATTAGAACAAACAAATTTTATAATTGTGTACAAAAACTTTTCAATTTGCTTAAAAAGTTATCGAGATATGGTAAAAGTACACAAAAAATAAAATTAACATTAACCTCCAAGCTTTCGACCACTCTTCTGATTAAATATTGGAGTCACATTCTCATAAATGCGTTCTATCACCCATATTTTGATGATAAGGAATTCAAATTCGTCGAAAAGAGGTACGTTTAGTTAGAGAAAATACATATTGTCTCTTATTTCCTAACTTAAGATATCGTCTCTGCACTAATTAATTAGCTTAGATAAAATTATGTCCTCTAAACCATTAAGATTGAGCTCAGTACATAAAAATCTGATAATTAGATCAAACAATATTCAGAGGGTTCCGTTTTTTTTCTTTTATGAACTGTGTATACTTATTCACAGTGCAATTAAAATTAGTATGCATTTGCACTTAAATTATACATTGTCTTTAGCTATGTGTTCTTACATTTGCACTTTTGTTTACGTATATTTTTCGAGTGACCTTAATTGTCTAACATGAATCATATCTTTGGAGATGAAAAGCGAAGAACTCCAATTGGGTATACTATAGCCAACGTCACAGGTCGTGTTATTCCTACTAAATTTAGCTAGTAAACAACATTTTCTGTGAACCTGATTTCTAGCAGCAAGTAAACATTAAACGAAGTGTGTTGTTATAAGTCGCTACTCGTCAGGTTGGAAATGTATTAGTCTAGTTCCTTTTGAAATAATTTATTTTGTTGTTTTATATAAGTTTATGAATTTAGTGAACATATTTAAAACTCAGCTTATTAATTAAACTAAAAGGTAAATATTATTCCTAGTAAAATTTTCGGAATGGAAGTAGTTGTGTTTTTTTTCATATTATACCCAATTGATCTGCATTTAAATTTTCAATGAAACAGTTGCAATTTTGATTTTATCTGACTTTTAAATTGTAGTTCAAAAAATAAGATCTAAAATAAATAAACTTTCATTTTTTTCCGTTGAAAATATCGATTTCGATTACATTTACAAATCTGGTCTCAAAGGATTAGATCTGTTAAAAGCAACAATTTAATTCTTAAAACTACAATATAGCAAGTTTAATAATTTTCACATCTTCATTTGTTTTACATGTTGTTATAATTACCTTTGCCTACCACCCTATAATATCCCTATATCGGGAACATGAGGTACATGAAATATTTTCTTGCTTTAAAAATAAAAAATAATAACCTCTTGTTTTCTTAAAACATCATTGAATTTTTAAAAGTTTTTAAGTTTAATAAGCACATAATTATGTGCTTATTAAACTTAAAAATGCAGAAAATGCTCTTAAGAGCATTTTCTGTTCTCTTAATTTACCATTTGGTATTTTTAAACCATATTTCAAACTAGGTTACCCATTTTACCCCACATTCACCAGTACGCTTCCTTTCTCCAATACTTTATTTCAAATATTTGCAAACTGTACCTTTGTTGCTTCCAACAAGCATAGAAAAAAACTAAAATTGTATGGTCTGAGCTGATTATTTAAATAATTTCTAACATATCAAAGTCTATGACTAGATCTTAATCTATAACTATAACTCTTTCCTTGATAAACTAGATATTTCTTTTTAAGAAAACTCTCTTTATAAGTATATCAAATACTTTTGAAGTAAAGAACAACATTGCAACAAAACAACTTTTTTCCCGCTAAGACCACTGATTTCTGTATCTGTATGACCATTTTCACTGCGAATCGCCGCAGATGCAATTTTTTCGCTGTTAAACGAGAAGATGATTGGCGCGTTTCTTTTTCAGTAAATATTTTTTACCAATCTTGTTTTCTTTCCCATGCGAAAAAATTTCTAAGAGAAAGATGCTCTGTATTTGACGCATTCCCTCCTTATTACCCTTGACGCGTCTACGAATGTTTAGAAATTACGTGTGAGAAAAATTGCTCGTGTATTGCAATTCGTTCGATCACAACTGCGAAATACATGCAGTGTAAATGCAGTGAGAATGCTTATCCCTTCACTTAAATGACGTCACATTAAAGGCGTCTATTCCATACGAATACGTCTTTCTTGTTACAAAAATAAGCCAACAACTCATGCGTTGTGTTTTAGTTTTATTTTGATTGTGAATGTGATAAATTAATATTTTAAATTTTGTGATTGTACTTTAAAATTAAAAGTTGCGTAAAATCTATTTGTGAAGATCCTACGCTTTATAAAAGTGGGGCTGTCCTATTCTGTTTTTCTATACGAATTGTACGTGGTAAATGTTTTTGTTGGTTTTGGTTTAATTCAAATAATTAGATTTTTACCAATACATTAAAATTAGGACAATATTAATGTTTTATGTGGCCATTTTAACATATCTTCCAACAAAGTAATAGGCTACGTTCATTTCATGATAATATATGTCGGCGAGTATTATAGTAAATTATATTTGTTAAGACGCTTTTTTTTATTACATGCAATTCAAAACTTAAAAAATTGTGTAATAATCAACTATTGGCTTTGGCTATCATGACTAAGCATTTACTTATAAAATCTAACTATCAACCATGCCATAAAATAAATTACCCTTAAAGTTGGTGTGAGATGCAATTAACTAAACTTAAAGTAACTCTTATTACAGTTTATTTAACAACGAAAAAAGTTTTTATACCTATAAAAAGGTTACTGTAAAGGCCGTAAAAAAGGTTACTGTTACAAATTTTAATTAGCTCAGTTCTGTTCATACTCAAATGAAAAATCTTTTTCATGTAATATATGTCATAAAAGTTACTAGGGATCTTTCCATGTCGTGATCTGTTGCACAAACTACAATCGCCAAGGAGGCAAAACTTTTAGATTTTAAAAAAAATAAAAACATGTAGATGTTTGCCCGGAGGTGGCTGCGAGTTATACCTTTGTAGTTGGTTCCCTTTCTGAGATTTTTTTTCAGTTTCTCCCGGACCGCTACCCGGGGGTTGCCGAGACTTGGCATTTATTCCGCCACTGATTACCATATGGAAATCTCCCAAGTTACTCTCAAAAATACTATTTAGATATTATACTACTTTGTTCTTGCTGGAAAAATCTTGTATTTTTATTATATGTAATAAAGGCTTTTTTCAGAAAAATAAATTTAGGAAGGAATTAAGAAAAATAAATTTGATAGTATTCCCATCATTTTTTGGCCATAACTAATAGCCCAAGCTCCAATATTTTAAATATGTTATTATGACATGCACATATGTTATTATGACAAGCTTGAGCTATCACTTTTTTGAGGCATTTGGTTTGTGAAGATTCCGTCATAAATTTGCAACTTTTGATGTTATTTATTATTTTTTTGTTATTTATTAATTGTTTATTTATAATTTTTTTGTTCTTTTTCCTATAGTTTTTCAAATTTTAATATTTTTAACGTAATGTTGTTGCTATGTTACTTGTAATGTTATAATGATGTTATTTATTATTTTTTTGTTATTTATTAATTGTTTATTTATAATTTTGTTGTTCTTTTTCCTATAGTTTTTCAAATTTTAATATTTTTAACGTAATGTTGTTACGATGAGCGAATTCCAAATTTGCGTTTTCTTTTTTTGACATATTCAATATGTTATGATTTCACGATAATTTCACATCAATTAGTGATTTTTTTTCTTCATATTACTTTCCAGTTGCTTTTTTGGCAGCTATTACAATTTTTTTTCCAATTAGTTCTACATTGTATTTAAAATCCCAATATTTTTATTGTGATGCACAATATTTTCAAAATTCTGGAATTATGCTAATTTTAAAACTTATTTACAGAATGTGCAAATTTAAATGGGGATTCATTTTTAATTTAAATGAGTTCTCTTTTAAAACACATTTTTTTTTAAATAATAAAATTAAGAACTTTTTTTTTGGGGGTATATATCTTAAAAGCTCGGAAAATATTTGTGAAAAACATTACCCTTTTCTTATAATGGTTGCCTTTTTTAAGAACGAATAGCATCCTTTTTTTTCTCTTGTTTTTGCCTTGAAATCAGCAAATAAAATATAACAAGCATTTTTTCTAAGCTCCTTATTAAATATGAGTCTAACCTGGGGTGCAGAATGTGTCCGATCGTACAAACTGTGCCATAGTGGCTGTATCTGCAAATTAAGTGGTTTGCTCAAATTAAATGGTTTTGCAATCACTAAATGTTATAAGTTTTTGCAAAATTTTTTTCAAAAATAGTTTTAGATTTTATGTTATGTAAAGTGATTTCTGTTTATGTTTTATATTAGAAAATTTATTTGATAAAAAACTTATATAAGGCAAGAGGCACTAAAATATATTTAACATATAGAATCCAAGAATCCTCCATGGTTCTTAATTTGCCAATGATCTCATACTTTTGCTCTAATTTTATGTTGCAGTGATTTTTACAATATTTTAAAGCTTAAAGATGTAATATTAAAATTTTTATGTTTAATTGTGTATTTTATGGCTGTCAGCGAAATATTTTTACTAAACACATTTAGAAACTTCTTCTCAGAAAATACTCTAAAAATTTCCCTTATTTTCATGCTTTGAATTATCTAAATTTTAAAGACATGACAAACTAAATTTGGGCTGTATTGTTAAATGTATCCAAAATAATGCTTTTCCAGAAAAATGTTATTTTTTTGAAAATCAGTTTTAATGGTTTCTTTTTAAAATTTTTTTTAATCTATCCCTAATTGCATACTATGTTTATATTTTATGCTGTAAATCTTTTTGCAATATCTCTCCCAGTTTTAAAATGTACAATACAGTTGAACCTCTATTATCTGACGCCTGATCAACCTATCTTTCAGTTTTCTGATGCTTCCTTCAAAAGCATCTGGACATACATCATTGTTACAACTGATGTTACTCCATTGTTGATTCATTTTTAGCCCTTGATTTCATTAAGCCCTATATTTATTTTATTTCAATTCAATTACTTCTATGACGATGATTCAAAAATTTATTTGCTAAAATGTGCCAAAAGACATGTTTAAACTTCTGTGCTTTCGTCACTTTATCTGCCTGTTGAAAATTTATCATCCATCATGTGATCAATCAGTTACAAGTAGGCACCTACAGAAATACATTTTATTTCAAAGTAATATTGTGTGAACAGCTGATTGAAGCACATTTCATTTCAAAATAAAATAGTGTAATCAACTGATATCTGTAAATAAATATGATATTCTTGCATTTGAGTGATTGAAAATAGTCAGTCTTTTAGTTAAAATACTTGCTGGGCGGACATCTCCTTTAAACAGTAGAAAAAATATTATCTGTTATTCTTTTTCATGATAATTTATAATTGTTTAAAATAGAATAGTAAAACACAAGTGAGGGTTTTTATTTGACCTTTTTTTTTAGTTGTTAATTATTTTGATAAATTTTACTCATAGTTTTATGTTTATATGCTCTCAAATTTTATTTAAAAAGAGTTCCTCTGATTTTCTGACAATTTTGATTTTCCAACATAATTCTACTTCCGTGGCTATCAGATAAGAGGGGTTCTACTGTATCTTAACTGTATTTTTATATTAGCTTCACTTAAAATATTTTTATCATAGGTTTCTTTCTCTGAAAAGGAGTTTTCTACACAACTTTATTCTAGGTTGAAAGAGAAGCTAATAACATGATAGAAGGAAATATGTTGCATGAATTTTCTGTAAGCAAGACTCATGTTGGTACTAGTGGAAAACCTTATTCTTGTAGTATATGTAATAAGAGTTTTTCTCATAAATGTCATTTAACTATACATCACCGTGTTCATAGCGGAGAAAAACCATATTCTTGTAGTATTTGCCATAAAGATTTTTCTCAGAAAAATCATTTGGATACACACTACCTTGTTCATGCTGGGAAAAAGCCTTTTTCTTGTAGTATATGTAACAGGAGTTTCACTCGAAAATGCCATTTAGATAGACACTACCTTGTTCATACTGGAGAAAAACCTTATTCCTGTAGTATTTGTAATAAGAGTTACTCTCGAAAATATCATCTGGATACACATAACCTTGTTCATACTGGAAATAGACCGTATTCTTGTAGTATATGTTGTAAAAGTTTTTTTAGAAAAGATCATTTAGATGAACACTACTTGATTCATACTGGTGAAAGACAATATTCTTGTAGTATGTGTAATAAGAAGTTCTCAAGGAAAACCGAATTAACTAGACATCACATTGTTCATACAGGTGAAAAGCCTTATTCTTGTAGCATATGCAATAAGAGCTTTGCAAGAAAACCTGATTTTAGAATGCATCAACTTGTTCATATTGGAGACAAATCTTTTTCTTGTAGTATATGTAATAAGAGCTTTTCTCAGAAACATTATTTAACGAGGCACAATCTTACCCATACTGAAGAAAAACCTTTTTCTTGTAGTACATGTAATAAGAGTTTTGCAATAAAAAGTTATTTAACGAGACACAATCTTATCCATACTAAAGAAAAACCTATGTAACATATGCAATAAAAGCTATAATTTTGGTATGTGCAATAAAATTACTGAACAAAAATTGTTTAACAAGGCAGAATCTAAAGGCCATACTAAAGAAAAGTTGTATAATGTGTAATAAAAGTTTCGCTCTAAAACATTTTTTGTCAAAGCCCAATTTGATCCATGCTGAGGAAAAATCTTGTTACAGTTTATGAGCGCTGCTTAAATGTTTTTCTGAGAAAAACAAGTAAGTTTTTATAAATCTAGCTGATTCATGTTTGTAAGCAAACATAATTAGAATTAATAACAAGTTTTTCATGAATTTCTCACAAGTTATTTCATTGAAACTATAAAAAATAAGTATCTGAATGTTTGCAAAAATTTCTTTCTCCTAGAAAAGGTTTTAATCAGTCCATTTAGTACATATTGAATGAAGATAACAGTTAAGGTTAAAAATTTGAGATCTTCATTTATCTTGCCAAGAATCACATAACCATTTGAGCTATGCAATCGTGGCAGGGAAGCGGATAAATTACAGACTAGAGATGTAACGAATATTTGTTATTTGGCCTTTTTTATCGAATGTTAGGCCAAATATTCCAGATTATGTTTTTTTTTTTTTTTTAAAGCATTTTTTGACAAAACTTGTTTGTAATGTGAGCAGATTTATTATTCTAAAAGTCATATTTTTTACTATACATTATTAGAGATAGTTTTTATACATATTTATTAAGCTCTAAAACTTGCAAATTTCTGTTCTGAAAGACACATAGCAAATTGAAATTTGAAGAATTGAAACTTATACTTACCTTCAAGTTTTGTAATTTCTGATTTTTTTTAAAAATTATTTTCAGGCAAGTAAATTTTTTTTTTTTTTAAATACTTTTTGATTTGAAAATGAAAAACGTTTTTTGTTTTTGCTTTTTTATTTATATATTAGTATGACATTTTAATGAAGCGTTTCGAATAGATTTTATTCTTTTATTGTTGCTTTTTTCCTGTACGATATGACAGATAACCAGTAACAATGAAAACTATGAACAATTTTTTTTCTATATTTCTCCTTTTTTTTCATTAACTTTTTTTATCAGTGTTTTTATTATGACAGCATTTTTGAAAAGCGAGGTGAAAAGGTTAAATTGAGATTTTTGGCTTTCAATTTTTCATTTAAAAATTAAAAACGATTTTTGTTTCAGTTTTTCTCTAGCTTTTTCTTTTTTAAAAGGCTGTGTTTTTATCGACGTTTTTATTATGAGGTGGCCATTGAGAATGTTTTGTTAGAGAATTAGGATCGACTTTTTTTTTTTCTTTCTTTTTTGTATGTAATCTTTTGTTTTTATGGGCGATTATGTAATAGCGAAATTCTCTATTACATAATCGCTCTATTACGAATCTTTAATTCTCTGTAACGCGACGTTTTTAAAAGCGTTTCTGATAGGCTAAAGTTCTTTCAACGTTTTATGGTTACTTTTTTTTTCGAAAAATTCTTTCAGCATTGAAGTTTTGCTTCAAGAATCAAGAGGAGTTTTTTCTATTTCTCTCTTTTTTTTTCAACTCTACAACTTCAGTTTTTTTTTTAAAAATATATAAATATAGCTGTTAGACAGTTCTTTATTTATCTTTAATATTTCTCATGGATAACTATTATAGGTTTTTTCCCTTCAGTTCATACCAATGATAAAGCTAATTTCCAGTAATGACTAATTTATTTATGTAGAAAAAATTAAAAAATTTATTATGATTTTTTAAAAAAAATATTACTAATCAGTCATCGAATATTCGATATTCAACCAAATCACTATTCGTTACATCCCTATTATAGACTATGTTGTTATACAAATTATTGAATAGTTTTAACTTCCTCTTTGGAAGCCTGCTTGCATGAACTTCTCAAATGTTTATTTGACTCGCTTTTACTTCCCTGTGTTGCATTCAATTTATCCAAACATATCTTTTGTGGTGAGAAAATTGTCAATTGCACTGCCAAATAAAGGTACATATTTGGGTTACAGGCAAAGCTAAACTTTTTTTTAAATTTCTGAGTAAATAAAATATCAGTTGATTAAGCTACATGTAAACATGTTTTATGCTTTTATTTTATCTGTCCCTAATTGCCTATTTTACCTATAATATTATGCTGTATAACTTTCAATCGTCTTTTGATGTTTTAATTGTTTAAGTATTTTCAACCGAGTTTCACGTCACTTTTTTATTTATCATAGCTTTTTTTTTCTGAAGTAACAGGGTTTGCAAGAGTCGACCCTCCCCCTTTTTTTTAAATGGTAATGATTTTTGAAATCTGTAACTAAATTTGTATCCTTCCAAAAACCATTTAATATTTCGGTAGTTTTTATGAAATTATTTTGTTATATGGAATAACAATGAGTAAATATTGGAAAATCAAAAAAATTTTGTGTTTTTCGATAGCAATAAATTAGAGAAAATACGAAAAAGATATGTGTTTGTAAATAATGCATATGTATTTCTTATCAACTTTCAAAATAACTAAATTCTAGAATAAAGAATTGTTTCCCTGATGTCAGTCTTGCAGTTTATTATTCTTTTTTCAATATTTTATTTTGAAAAACTATTTAAATATTAAATTCGTTCCGTGTGCATAAACAGAGGTTCATCGAATGCGATTCATTCGTAATTGTTATGATTTCTAAATCAAGAATGCAGTCAAACAGTTGAGTAATCAAAATTGTGGTTTCTTAGAATTTCCTCGATATTCTGTTTAGAATAATTTTATTCCCTTGTCAAGAGTTATGAAACTTAGTTGTCAGTATCTAATCAATGACATCGGTTCCCAATGGATGGTGTTTTCAATATAAATGTAAACAATAACAATCTCGAGCTCAATACCTGCTCCAGTTCCGGTTAAAAAATTTACAACTGCTTACTACAGCTTATTCTGTGAGGTGATGTTTTCAAACGGATAATTTTGTTTTCAAATCTGCCATATTTCATTGAATATTAATGTTATTAAGTAATTCTGGTGAGTTTGAAGTGAAAATTTGTTTTAGTTATTTATTGTTGTTGTTGTTCATTTACGTCGCACTAGAGCTTTAGTTATTTCTAGATATAGTGTTAAAAAAGGTGACATGGTTTGCTAGATTTTGAATAACTCGCTTTTTTGGCAGTCCTGATTTGGCCACTTACCATTTGTTTATTACTGTTTGTTCTTGTTGCAAGCTGTGCACCATCTTACGTTAGTGTTAGCCCTTTTAGCATTGTAAACACAAGTAATAAGTAATCAAATACAACGTTTGCAAGAATCACAAAACACAATGATCACGTTATGAGCCAAATGGCCTTAAATGCACCGGAAACAGTAACCCGGAAGTATAAGCGGTATGGAGCTTGCAGCGTTTCCTAGTGTAGAAAACACCATCCATATCCTTAAATGATTCACCTTCTTTAGCAAGACCCCTACTTTATTGGCGAAGAATATTAAGGCGATGAGCATATTTTCCAATGGGTGTAATAGGACAGTATATTGATCAATAAAGGTTTGCCTGTTTAAGTATTTAGACAGAAATGTTAGCAGGGATTAGAGTAATTTTTGTCTAAAACATCTGTGCTCTAGGCACTAAATTCTTTATATGTGTATTTCTGCATAAAATTAAATACTTCAAACAATGATTTTAATTTAAACTTGAATGCAAAACAGATAATTTTTTTTTTAAAAAAATATTATTTTATCAAGGAAATTGGGAGGAGTGATTGCTTTTTTATCACGTTACAAAACTCCATTTTTTCTAACAATAATAATTTTTATAAACTGTATTGCTGTAATAATTTTCATAAAATTAAATTTGGAAAATGTAATTTTTTTTGAGTAAAGTAAATACTTCAATTAAGGAAAGTTTTTAGGGATTTAAATTAAAAACAAATTATAACACGAAATACGATTTATATATTTTATAATTTACTTACTATATAACGAATAACTAAGTTTCAGTGTTATAAGAGCTCTAGCTGACCCTTCACTAAGGATACAATTTACAGAGAAATCATCTCCATGAGAATGTCAGTGTATTAATCTCGGGTAAGAATAATATTTTTTTAACCAATGTCGGGGATTTTTCTTATTCTATCCATACACGAAAAATGTTCAAAACCTAAAATAGTAAATAGTAGTTCAAAAAGATAGTAAATGAACAAAAAATAACAAGATTCAACAGAAATGCTCTCATTATGTATATATATATATATCATGAGAAGGATAATTATATTAATAAAAAGAGCTTAAATTGTAAGAATTGCAAGTGGATTTTTTCTCCTGCAAACTTCAATCTTTGAATTATCCAATCATTTAAAGAACGTTACACTAAACAAATGATTTGGGTAATAATTTCTCTTGATTCCAGTGACCTGCAAGGTGTTTCTAAAGCAATAATAAATGTTACGGAAGTTCTCAAGTTGATTTCTATAGCGATGGACAGTGTCGACTGAAATGTATTACAAATGGAATTAATAAAACTTCTCGGTATCTAAAGGAGAGATTTTTAATTATCGAGGAGTACTTATATCCATCGTCTCACCCGCCCAACGACGCCCATGACATTAACTTATGTAAATATGTACTTCGGAATTTACTTCTTGACGATATTTAACCTCATACAAGATACAACTACATAAATATTAGGTACTCAATAAATGCACTGCTTCTTTTTAAATATAGACTAAATAGGGTACTTCCGATTCCAACCCATCTTGGAAACATGAACCAGATGTCCTACCTAGGTGGTGGTTACAAAAGTAGCATCAATCAAAGAATATAAGTAAACGAACGTTTAACTTCACTAAACTATAGGCAATGAAATGTATTTTATGTATGTACTAACTAGAGTTGTAGTTTCAACATTCATGTGCACTTTACAAAAAAATCATCTGTTTCTATACTGGAGTTAAAAATTACTTCAGAGAAAACTGCGTTGTTTAGTGACAAATATAGCTTCCCTGATGAGTTAAAAAGTGTTGGTCTAGTTCTATTAATTTTTGACTCATTTAATTTTGAACTTAACACATCTTGAGCACCCCCCCCCCCAAAAAAAAAAAAAAATNAAAAAAAAAAAAAAAAAATGTAATAAACTTTAGTATACCCTGCTCTGTCCTGCGTTTCCCATATTAGGTATAGATGAGAATTGCAACGTATCCAAAACCGGAGATTAATTTTTTAGACCAACTGTTTGAATCATACGCGTCTGCGAATTCGGAGATGCATGCGAACAAGAACCTTATTGGTAGAATATATTCAGCAGCGAGAAACGCACCAATCATAGTCTCGTTCGCATCTCTGAATTCAAATGCGTGATTTTATTGCACTCATTGCTTTTGAAACTGTGACGTCATGATGTTACGACGTTTTAATAAATTCTCTTTAAGAATTTGGTAACCGTAGAATGAGGAAATGGTTTCCGGTTTCGTTTTTGTTTTTGTTTATGTTTGACTTCAGTAAAAATTACTTTTGTCGGAGAGCTGGAAGGGACTTTCAAAGTACTACTTTTTTAAATTATAAAAAGAAAAATATGAATGAATATTGTAGATATGCTTAAATTTTGATTTGTAATTTTGGCTAGTAATTTTTCTAACTATTTATAAAGCTAATCGTACTTAAATAATACAACTCACTAATTGTATTATTAAAATTTTGCATCTTTTAAATAAGTGATAAAAGAATTTTATCGATCTGTCATTAAAATAGACTTTTATCAGTATTTTATAGTATGTTTTTCTTAAAAATGCAAAAAATTGAACTGTTTGGTTAGATTGTTCACTGGTCTTTGAAATTTTTTACCACTCACAGTTTTTAATTTCCCAGAGGGTCGTATTTCTGCATTGGTTCTGCCAGCGAATTTGTGAGGATTTAATTATTGACTATGTCAACCTTCATCTTTCAAAAGGTTTCTCAAGGTGGAATTAAGTTGGGAATGGGTAACATCTCGGCGTGCGCCACCAGCCAATTCATCGAAACTATATAGTCTTGAATTAATTAGTCATAAATTGGAAACAAGTATTAATATGTGTAGAGAAAAATAGGAGAAAACTCCATGGGTAGACTATATTTGAGGGTGCCCCTTGATTCTCGCGAAGTTTTGATCGCCACGCTGGGTGATGTTGAAACCCAATCGTGATTCTGATTGATTGAGATTCTAGTGTTATTTTTAAATGTTCAATGGTTTATGTAATTTCAGAGGTCCGTTAGTTCTACATTGGATACGGTTAATTTTGCTTCTGGTCCTAAAAATGACTGCAGTAAATAAGATAAATCTTAAGTTTCTGTACGATTTGAATAACAATGGAAAAAAAGCAGTGATTGACTGGTGTGTGAATGAAGGTTTAAATAGTAATAGATATAAATGTCCTGTTTGTGGGAGTTCTTTTCCTTTTCTTTCTGTGCTTACTCCATTAATTTTTGTTTTGATGCAAAATGCACTTAATTGGGTTTATTAGTTTTGCTTATAATGGGTTAATTGGAATTTTATAAAGTTTTAGCCGATGCTTTGTTGAAATTTTACAATGTTTTATTGAAATATTATGTTTCGGCCGCATTCCTGTTACTACGGTGTTCCACGCAAACAGGAATGGCGCCAAACATAAGTCGCCAAGGGGCACCCTCAAGTATATTTTTACCAAACTCCATTGTCAAGTAAGAAACTATGTAAATTTTTAAAGCACATAATGACAAGCACAATATTTAGTAGATAGGTTAAGTAAAATAGCAAATAGTGGTCAGAATAAATTGAATATTATATACTAAATGACGATAATAATAATAAAAGTAATAGAAATTATTTACAAAGTTATTTACAAATTATTTACATAATTAGTATTCCTCTGTTAGTATAGTGACCCTGCCGACCTGTTACCGCTTGTGCTGGGGATGCTCACTATTCTGAAGTTTAAGCAGAGCTATGACTCGCCTGGATCGAACCCTCGGAAAGGGTAGAATTAAGTTAGCATGTCTTATATACCAGTGTTCCCTAACCTTTTTATCACTGCAGACCTGTCAACGTTCGATAATTTTATTGCGGCCCACTGGGGAAGGGAGGGACGTTGATTGTTTCTACCTGTTACCGCTTGTGCTGGGGTTGCTCACTATTCTGAAGTTTAAGCAGAGCTATGACTCGCCTGTATCGAACCCTCGGAAAGGGTAGAATTAAGTTAGCATGTCTTATATACCAGTGTTCCCTAACCTTTTTATCACTGCAGACCTGTCAACGTTCGATAATTTTATTGCGGCCCACTGGGGAAGGGAGGGACGTTGATTGTTTCTATTTTAGATTATTTTGATTTAGTAATTTTAATTGTATTTAAACGTGCCTTCAAAATAAAATACAGTTACCAGGGGTCTGTCCAGGCCGAATTTACTACTGTTTAGCGGTACCTTCACAAATTCAACTTTAGGAAAAACGGTAGTTTCACAAATTCAATTTTAGGAAAAACGGTAGCTTCACAAAATACTTTTTCTTAAAATTTCATTTTTGTATCCCTTAAGAAACGATAAATCCATATTTTTGTGTTGATTTTTTAATATAATTTTTAATTTTTCACAAATTATGTCTAAATTTTCACAAAATAGGTACCTCTCAGAAAAACCTAGATAGACCCCTGGTTACACCAAAAAATAGATATAATAACATTTTAACTTACTAGAACGCTAAATCAATGAGGTCACGATCGAGAGAGAAGACCAAATTCTTCATTAGTTCCAATGTAAATTTTGCGCCGCGCTTTCATGTTTTATTTATGATATTTACAGTTATGATGTTTGATTTGTTTAAAATTAAAACTAATTGAAAGAGAAAATAGTTGCGGTGTTTGTTTTTTTTACTTTTTAGAACATTAAAAAATTTATGGCGCTGCCTTCGGAGGCCTCTTTTTTTTTAAATAAATAGAATTGTAATGGAAGACAAATATTTTTAATTTGGGGTATAAACCGAGGAATTTAAATTCAGTTTCAATGAAATGGGCAGGCCGGTACCATTTGATCCACGACCGGGAGTTGGGGAACACTGTATATACTAGTGAGTTGGTATTTAATAATTAGAGTGGTAGTTACTCAACATTACTTCACTTCCAGAATTTTATCTGTGATAGAATTCGATGAAGGAATACCACTAGTTGATTTATGATATTTTTTTCTCTTTTTTTTAATATCATTTTTGTTTTATTTATTACATTTTGCTCATTATTTTTTGTCTTCAATTTTGTTTATTGACTGGTAACTTATTTACTTCATCTGATTTTTTTTTCCAGCCCTATATTTTATGCAAATCAACTATTTAATGTGGACCTTCCATCAATGTTGACAAGTTCATATCACATCCGCAGGTTACCAATAGCGGATCTAATTATTGACTGTCAACCTTCATCTATCAATAGGTAGGTACTTCAAGATAGAATCAAGTTAACGTGTCGTATATACTAGTGAAGTAGTATTTAATATTTATAGTGGTAGTTATGCCACATTACTTCACTTCCAGAATTTTATCTGTGATAGAATTCGATAAACGAATTACCGCTAGTTGATTTATGCTGATTTTTTTAAATATCATATTTGCTCATTATTTTCTTAATTTTTTTTTTAATATCATTCTGCTCATTTTTTTCCTTCAATTTTCTTTATTGACCAGGAGACTTTCATTTACTTCACCGGAAATTTTTTTTCTAGCACTATATTTTACGCACATCAACTGTTTAATGTGGCCCATTCATCAATATGGGCAAGCTCGTATCACGCCGCAGGTCACCTTTGATGGGGATGTTGTAATCGACTATGTCAACCCTCATCTATCAAAAGGTACTTCTTGATAGATGAAGGTTGACATAGTTAATAATTAAATCCCTTCAATGCTGACCTAGACGTGATATGATCTTGTCAAAACTGATAAATGATCCACATTTAACTGTTGATTTGCATAAAATATGGAGCTCAAAAAAAAAAAAAATCATATGAAGTAGGCACTATATTTTTAGCAAATCAACTGTTTAATGTGGACCATCCATCGGTGTTGTAGAGTTCATATCACGTCTTCAGGTCACCATTGAAGGGGATTCATTAATCAAATATGCCAACCTTCATTTATCAAAAGGTACCTTGCAATAAAATTTAGTTAGCATATGTTATATAGACTAGTGAGTTAGTATTTAATATTTATTGTGGTAGTTATGCCACAAATTCTTCCATTTAATTATTTTCACAAATTATTCATTGTATTACTATTGTGTTTTAGATGTAAGAGTAAATAATGTTTTTTGTGTGTCAATTCTTCACATGTTAGTTATGAAAAATTTCTCCTCCAGTTTTAAGTGTGATTATTATGATGTAACAATTATTACATGTAACAACATATTTAATTCTTGTTTGAACTCAGACTACAACCAATTTCAAATTTTAATCAGTACTTTTTTGTTAACTGTTTGGAAGCAAGCTCAATAATTGTTTTTGTTATATTTAATATTTTTAGGGAAGTCTATTTTGTTTGTGCTAAAAAAAAAAAAAATCATTGAGTTAAGAGAGAATTAGGTATCTTTTTTTTAAATTTATTACGACGATTTCTTACGATTTTGTAAGAAGTATCGTATTTTGTAAGATGATATATCTGCCTTGGTACCTGTTAATGCCAACCACAACTGCCAAAATGTTTTTAAATTTGCAATTTTTTTTAAAAATAACATCTAATGAGAGTAACTATGTGTTACATCATTTGAGTTGATCTTTTGTTTTTTTTTTGTAAACTGTATAATTTACTATTTTAAAAATTGAAGAAATTCTGGTACTTTCCCATTTTTCCAACTCATGCAATTAAATGCTTGTGGACGAAGTACTACGAAATAAGCAATTGCAGTTATAAAATATTTTTCAGTGAAAATGTATTTTCTTTGCTAGCCTTGAAACTTTTACTTACATAAATAATGCATTTATATAAATTTATTTTGAATCATATTTATTGAGATTACAATGAAGGTTAATAGTGTTTTATTTCAACTGAACAGTAAAGTGCTGCTAAAACACTAAATTCCAAGAAAAATAACATTCTAAAAAATATAAAACCGAAATGAATATAGCGAAAAAATATAAAAATGAAATGAATATAACGAAAAAATATAAAAATGGAATATATAAGACAACTTCACTCTTTCCATTCAGTTAGCTGACTCTTTGTTCAAAGTATAACTTTTGAATTTTGCTTGCTTTATTACATTTTTATTTGTTCAATTTTATAACTTGCATTCCGGATTTTGTTTATAAAGTCGAGTATGTCAGCTACCTAGATAATATTTATTTTTATGGTAATATTCTCTCTACCAAATCAAAATTAGACTCTCCAATTTTTTAAACTTAAATTAGCATTAAAATACAAGTATCTAAATATTTGAACTATAGGGGTTCAAATGAAGAATTATTTTGTGAAAGGTGTCTGTTATCATAAAAGTTAGATAAGTCTTTCGAGACACATTCATAATGTAACTATTTTATTTACAAATTTTCCCTGTACATGTTTTTTATTTACTTACATCCTTCATATTTTGTATATTTGCATTTTTATTTTGCTAATTACTGTTTGTTTTTAGCTGATTATAGTTTTTCATTTGTGAACTTTTTAACCTGAGTCTTGAAATCCAAAGTCATTTATCTTGGGTATGTATGTTTTGCATGCTTTATTCTAGCTGAATTCAATTTCAATAATTTTAAAGAAGTTATCTCTTTGTTTTTATCTTAATATAATTTTAATAGTTTTTATTAAAGTTTTTTTTTTTTTAAATATAATTTTAGAACTTTGGTTTCTTAAACCTTGATTGTAAAAAATCCCAATTTCCAATATATATAAATATNTAAAGAAAGTTTTTAAAGTGCTGCTTTCTTAACCATAATTTTCATTTGATCTTGATCCTTAATTAAAATTGTTCTTAATTGCATTCTTGTTGATTTTTTATTTGTTCATTGATAAAAAATATTGGTCTTAGCACCTTTATTTGTGATAGTAAAGGAATGCACTTGTGTAAACATAAAATAAAATGCAAAATTTATTCAAATTTTTTTATTTTACTTATCAGAAAGTCAATTAAATGTTTGCCTATTGCCAATTATATCTAAAATGTTGCTCTTGATTCAATTTAAATGTTTTTAATTTCTTAAAACATCTGTGCTTAGGGAATAGAGCATTTGTCTACTAATGAGTTAACCTAGGTTCCAATCCAACGATGACTGGTTGTACCTAGCTTGTACCATAGTGATGGCGTAACAGTATTCGCATCTCAATGATATGCAGATCATGCATTAAAATCACCTTGCCATCGAGTTAACTATGATGGTTTTTCTGGTTTTTCCTCTTTATGTTAATGGAAATGCCGGTTAGTTTCATCAAAAAGTCCCTCATAAAGGCAAGTTTGTCCCAATGCTTGATCCAGAAGTTCCCTTGTCTTCTGGATTAGATTCAAAATTACAAGGTTGCAGAGTTGAACATTGATAGTCTTAAATGCAGAAATGGGTCAGCTGTTCAATGTTGATTATAGATATTTAATTTCTAATGCTGAACAGAAGATTAATATAGTGATTTTGTCGTCCTTAATATAATGATTCCTAGTACAGTACAAAACCCGTTATCCGGAAATCTGAAAACGGGAAAATCAAAAAACCGGAACAAAATTCGATAAATTTTCTCGCCATTTTTTAAAAAAAATAAATTTTTTTCCCTCGTAAGATTTTACGATTTTTCTTTCTTTTTTTAAAGATGTTTACCTTACCATAATAATCATTAGTGTATTACTTCATCGTTTTTTCTTACTTTTAAGATTATTTCCAAAATTTAATTTTTTTTAGTTGGGTTTAACAATAAAAAAACGGCTTTTTGTAGCGATTCAGAAAACCGGAAAAATCCGTTATCCGGAATAGCGATGGTCCCAACCGTTCCGAATAATCGGTTCCCTACTGTCATAATTTTCAGATCCTTCCGCATCCTAGTAATTTTAAAAATCCTAAAGAAAAAGGAACTTTCAAATCATGCAACAAAAAAAAAAAAAGGCATTTTTGCTGTCATGAGAAACTTTATTTATGAAACTAACATGTTTTATATTACACAGAGCAAAAACCTCCCATGATTAATCTAATGGTAAGAGAACTTTTACCAGAGTTGTTAGTAATTGAATTTGTTGAGCTATAACAATTAAGAAATGGAAAACATGCTTTCCTAGAAACGTTATGTTTAAGGCTGCCGATGACCAACTTTATTCACTCATGCATCTTTTTAATATTAAATTTAAATCAACTGTTTATAATAAAATTTTATAAACTGTTTTCAAGTCAGTTTTCGGTTAAGCTGTGTAAAAATTTATAGGTGTTTTGTTTTTGAAGTAAAAACTGCCTTCAATATATTTGTGAAAAGTAATTTTCTTTTATTTACTAGTAAACTTATCTTCATTGATGTTTAAATTAATAATATGCATTCAAATTACTATTGTGATATTTGTAAGAAAATTTTCATTTTCTATTTGCAATGTCTATTATACTTCCATAAAATGCTCAGCCTATACACCCAAATAATAAAAATATGTTATTGCATTTACTCATTTGTTGAAAGCAAATTTAGTTTAAGAGTAATGCACATATATTACTTTTTGTACAGTATGTTTAAATTTTATTTATAATGAATCTATAAACTTTTTAAAATATCAATATAATTCTTTATTTTATATTTATTTAAGTATCATATATATTTAGTTAAAATAGTTTACAGCATTAGATTTCTGGATTTCTACGTCTTTTTTTGCCTAAATGGCCACTCCTTCAGCGAACATATTTCTTTGCCCCAAAGATGCCCACTTAACCAAGGTTTCATAGATTTTAAATTCTGCCCTAAAGCAAAATATATCATGTCAAAACAGTTATTTCAGCTTGATTATTTAGAAACTGGTGGAATAGATGAATTTCTAAAACTACAGACATGAATAATTTTAAGGTTATACTATAAAATGAATATGATTGTGTCGAACATAAATTAGTGTTAGTGGACATATTTTGTATTAAAGACCAAGGTCATGGTTCATGAATGTGCCAGGTTTAGTGGTTAAAGAAGGCTAATAAATATAAATATATATTACCTGCAGGTTAGTCCATCTTGCACTGGGCAAATGAGCCAGTTTTCTGACCCTTAAACATGCAGCTTTTTCCTCTTATTTATTTTTATACAAAGATTTTAAAAACAAATATTACAGGAAATCCTTAAGAAACACACTTGACCTTTTATGACTTTACACTCAATATGACTTTAAAGTGATGATTTTAAATGGTTATAATACTAGAGAAAATTAATCTTGTTGGAAAAATTTGTGTTTTACTTCTCTGCATATTTTTTTCATTTATTTTGTTTTAATTTTTGTTCAATTTCAGTAATTACATTTTTATTACTTCCATTTTATTTCTTTGCTTATTTTTTAGATGTATTTTATAAAAATTAATGTATAATTTAGAGAGACACTAAAGTACTTTTAATGCTTAGTTTCTTCTAACATCTTAATGCAAGTCTTGTCACATACTTATAGTTTAAATTTATTCAATATATAAAGAGTTTAATACTTTCATATTTAAAAAATGAAATGTTCAAATTGTTCCAACATTTTCTATTAAATTCCCTTATTTTTATCATAGGTTTCTTTCACTGAAGGGAACTGACACAAACTTACTCCTGGTTTTAAAAAGAAGCTAGTAACAATGTTCAGCGATAGTATTTTGCAGGAAATTTCCATAAGCAAGACGCCTCCTGTTGATACAAAAGAAAGACCTTATTCTTGTAATATCTGTAAAAAGAGTTTCTCTCAAAAATATAATTTAGATAAGCACAATCTTGTACATACTGCGGAAAAACCATATTCTTGTAGCGTCTGTTCTAAGAGTTTCTCTCAAAAGTGTAATTTAAATACACATTTTCTCATTCATACTGGAGAAAAATCTTATTCTTGTAGTGTATGCAATAAGAAATTCTCTCAAAAATGTCATTTAAGTACTCACATTCGTGTCCATGCTGGGGAAAAACCTTATTCTTGTGATGTGTGTGATAAGAGTTTCTCTCAAAAAGGTCATCTAGATTCACACCACCTTGTTCATACAGGAAAAAAACCTTTTTCCTGTAGTGTATGTAATAAGAAATTCTCACAAAAATGTCATGTCAATACACATTTTATTGTTCATACAGGAAATAAACCCTATTCTTGTAGTATATGTAATAAGAGTTTTTTTCAAAAACGTAATTTAGATGAGCACTATTTTGTTCATTCTGGAGAAAAACCTTTTTCCTGTAGTATATGTGATAAGAGATTTTCTCGAAATAGTCATTTAAATACACACTATCTTATTCATACGGGAGAAAAACCTTTTTCCTGTAGTACATGCCATAAAAGTTTTACCCTAAAAGGTGATTTAACTAAACACATCCATATACATACTGGTGAAAAGCCTTATACTTGTAGTATATGCAATAAGAGTTTTTCTCAAAGAAATTATCTGACAAAACACAGTCGTGTGCATACCGGAGAAAAACCTTATTATTGCAGTGTGTGCAATAAGAGTTTTTCTCACAAAAATTATTTAACGAAACATAATCGTGTCCATACTAAAAACTCTCCCTCTTGAACTTGAGTCACTTTGGCGAGCAGAATTTAGCCTTTGTACAGTGAAACCTATCGGGTGCGACCACTCTCCGGTCCACAGTAAAATGGTCGTTCTTCGAGGTTACTTCCATTGACTTCAAAATCTTATCGAAGGTTCAGGATTTTTCGCAAACGATTTTAATCTTAGTCAGTGTCATTGTTTTATTGCATAAATGCCACTTGTGTTAGTATTATGAAAACCGGATAAATGAATAAAACTCAGATTCAATAAAAATGACCCCTAGTTTTTAGTGAATTCAAATTGACCAATTATGAATGATAGAACTATTTCAAATAGAGAATAATGTATTTTGTTTAAGTTTGTAATTAATTTCATGTAAAAAAATTTAGTTAGCTTTAAAATTGGGAAGAGATTTGTTTATTTGACATGCTTGTTTTTTCTAAAATAACTTCTGATTTCTAAAATTACTTCAGTGAGATTATTCCACTCTGATGTGCAACTGCTGCATTTTGCAAGATATTCTCTATTTCATGCTTCATTTTTCACCCTCTGATATCGAATCGAAAAATCTCTCCATGACTAATATGATCAAGAAAAGAGTTCTTTGTCAGAAACTAGTTATTTTATCATGATCATATAAAGTCTTTGAAAATTATTTTGCATTTTGTTAAAGTATATAGTGCCTAAAAATATTTGAGTGCTTAAAAGATACTTACTATATATATATATATATACCGTATATTCCGGCGTATAACGCGCACTTTTAATACAAAAAAAAACATTGGAGTTTACGGGTGCGCGGTATACGCCGAATATAAAAAATTTTAGATTAAAAAAATACAAGTATAGAAAAATACTTTTATTTTAAAGAAATAACATCATCATCAGCATTGGCACGACAGCCCTTTGTGGGCCTGGGCCTTCCTCAGAAGCTTTTCCCATTCTGCCCTTCTCCCAGCAATTGTTTTCCAGTTCTTTACTTTTAGGATGGCAAAATCCTCATCTACACAGTCCTTCCATCCAGTTCATCCAAGAAATAACATACCTTTACCTATATACTTTATTGATTTTCGTTATTACATAAATAGTTCATTATATCCGCCTTCTGTTATTTCTTCAGGCACGTCATCACAATCTGTTTGGTCTTCATCATCTGTGTTACCCTCATCCATAAATAAACAGTCATCTTCTGATCCGTCCAGATTGTTTGAATTGCTGCATTTTTTGAATGATTTTCTAACCATCTCAGGCTTAATTTCATTCCATGTTTTTAATATCCATTCGCACATTGTTTCCAAACTTGTATGACGCATATGTGCTCCTTTCGTAAAGGTTTTCTCGCCCTCCAACATCCAAGTGTTCCACAGTTTTTTTAAAATTGTCTTTAAATGGTTTGTTTAAGCAGACGTCCAATAGCTGAACTAATGGTGTTAATCCGCCCGGAATAACTGCCATATCGGTGTTACATTCTTTCAAAAATTTTTTTTTTGTATTATCTGTAAGGTGGGACTTAAACATGTCCCACACTAAAAGGCTTTCCGNATATATATGTATATATATAGTATATATATATTTTTTTTTTCCCTTTTTGGAAAATAATAATTTTTACTTACATTATTTCTTTGTATAAAACTTTCATTTTGAATGAATCAGATATTTAAAAAACATCACATCCTAAACAGTATCTTTATTAATTATATCGTGTCAAATTTTTTTTTATAAAAAATTTTAATTTTAGCCAAAATTTTAAAAAAAAATCAACTGATTTTAATCATGCTGACCTGTTACTTATTATATGTCAAAAAAGTTTTTATAAAAAAGTCATATAGATTCTGACTACTTTGTTTATATTGTTGAAAGGCAGTGTGTTTCATAATGTCCACTCTTATGCATAATTTTTAAATTTGTTGTTATACTTATTTGTTATTGTTATTATATATGCTTGTTATTATAATTCTTGTTTTTCTAAAAAAACCTGATATTTGAGCTTGTAAAATTGTTTTAAAATCAAACTGTTTGGTGTGTGCAAAGGAAGGAAATTCTTGAAATCATATAGGAAGAGATATTTCAAGTAAAGAGTGGATAAAATCTAGATTAGTGTTTCCCAAATTTGTTTGGTTATGCAACCTTAAATGATAAAGCTTCATTTGGCAGAATCCCAACTTTATCAATAAAATTTATTTTCTTATATTAACCTAAAAAGATCGAAGTCTTAAATTTTTTATAAACTTTTGATAAAAAAATTTATATCTTTAACTGCTATTCCTTTTTTTTCTTCTTTTACATAACAAATTTTAAAGAAGTATTGAGAATTTTTGTTGAGTTGACTGCAATTGATTGTACCATAAATTGAATTATGTTCTAGCGTGTATAAGGTTTTGTGGAGTGTATAACAGCTATTTTGCTTTTATAAAATTATGTAAAGACAAATATTTATTTTAATTTAATAATAATGAAAAATAAATAAAGTAGTCATGCTATGTTGTCTTCTTCTTCCTTATCTCCAAAATTAGCAGGGCTAAATAATGTCCATGAAATTCATGACCCGGAGGAAGTTATGTTGTACATATTTTAAGTACTTTAAATTTTACAAACTAAAATGTATGATGTGATTTGGCATACTTGAATCAAATATGGTGTATTTGATTCATTCTTTTTCTTACAGAGGGATAGACATTACCGACCCTTCTTGCTTTTTATCTTTGATTATTACTAGAAGAGTGCAATAAATTTAAACTAACCTATTGAAAAACAGAGCTGCAAGCTTACTTAAGTTGATAAAAATAAAAAAAGCCTCGATCAAATGTCATGTTTTAGAAAATCTTTTTCTCTGAAAGTAATTAAATTTTCACTTGAAAAGAAATGAAAAAACAAGCTTACTTTTACTGAAGTAGGGACAAGTTACACGAAGCACAAGATTGAGGAACCTTAACCTCTATGGCTCTTTTGACCCACAATGGGCTGTTGCAGGTTTGCTTTATTTATTGGGGGCCAGCAAAAATTTTTTGGAACAAATCGGCACCTAAGATTTATAGACCCCTGAGTTGGAGTACTATTGGAATAAACAGGAGCTTTTTGAATCGTCAAATTAAGATTGCTTTCATGTCGAAATCGACCTTCGTGAGTTAAAGGTCGTCTTGACTCGGATAAACAACAAATTCTCAAAATTTCAATGAGATATTGAGTTATTGATAATGAGATATTGAGTTATTGTGAGTTATATGATTTTTCTTGAATGTTCGCTTGTCAAAAATGTTTTATTGATTAATGTCATCTTATTCATAGTTTAACATGTAGATGAATAAATTAAATAGAAAGGAAATACTTTTTTCCTCTTTAAATCACCTCTTATATCAATCTAAGCAATTTTTTAACTATTAACATTTTATCAATATAATCTGCTTTTAACATTCATTATTATAACAAAAAGTTATGACCATTATTATACAATAAGTGACCTTTTCTTTATTTTATAAGTGAACTTTTTCTTTAATTAAATAAATTGATTATAATCTAAGTTGATTTAGCTAATATGAGTATATTATAAACCATATTTTATTTACGGTATATGAGTATATTATGAACCAATTTAAAATTGGAAGACAGAAGACCTTATTAGATCATAGTGCTCTATCGAAAAAGAGAGATACTCTCTGGGTTTAAACGTATGTTAAGATGTTTCCAAGGGAGACACAAATGACCAAGTCTTAAAATCTATCGCCTTCGATTCTTTGCACTTACTGTACCCAGAGCACGAATGGCTACATATATTCACAGACCGTTCAAGATTGGCTAATGGCACTAATGCTGGAGCCGGAGTTTCCTGCAACCTTTTTTCATTTTACACCCCGATCGGTTCGTCTAGCACAGCCTTCGATGCAGAAGTATCGGCAATAAGCGTTGCTCTATCACAACTTCAGAATCACCTTGAGAAATTCAATAACGTAGTCATCCTTTCTGACTCCAAAACCGCACTCCAAGTTATTGCTTCCTCCGAAGCCCCCGCATCTGCCGACATTTTACAATGTCGTCAAGCCCTTCACAGGCTTGACCAAAACAACAAAAATGTCGATATGCAATGGGTACCAGCGCACTGTGGACTTCAAGGTAACGAAACTGCAAATTTCTTAGCCAAAAAACTGCCAAGATTCTACAAATATCTCGTAAGCCCGTTCCTTTCTACACCGTAAAAAGGCTAATAAAAATCTCTCTTCCAACAACATTTGAGGCAAAACTCCAAGAAGCAAATAAAGATAAGGATAAGGGCTGGCTAGAAGGAATTAAAAATATTCCGTTATGGCCAAGAGAAAAATCTGTGGACCTTTTTCGCCTTGCCACTGGCCATGATTTATTTTATTGAAATTATATACATTTGCTGACTTGTGTGCTCAATATAGGCTTATAAGTCATTGTCAAGTAGAAAATACAGATAGAAGCCCCACTGACCATGACTGTTTATCAAAACACCTGTACAGAATCAAATTCTTTTCAAGCCCCTTTTGTCCATTATGTAACCTGCAAGAAGAAATGGACGCTAACTATCTGAGACGCTACCCTGCACTTCCTTCTGTGCCCTTGTGGGAACGTTATTGGCGGGCGAGATACATTATTAAAGATCTATAGACTCTTTCTTTTTGTAGCTTTTGTTTCCGTTTTTTGTTCTTTCTTTGTATTGTTCTCAGCTACAAATTTGTCTTTCATGTCTGCCATTGGAAATAAAAAAAAAAATTTTTTTTTGGCTTGTTATTTTTTAGTTTACGTTGGAGTTTTTCTGATCTCTTTTATTTATTTACTAGCTAAATAACTGTTTTCTGTAAGGTGTGAAAGAAAAAACTATCACTAAATCAGCATTGAACAACACTACGAAATCATGCACAAAACTAAAAGACATATCAACATAATTAAAAAAAACTAAAATAATTAAATTTCTTTTATTTATTATCATATTTTGTCTTTGCCGGTTACTTTACGTTATTAGATTAAGCAAAACACGTTTCATAATTTAAAAGCAAAATTATGCAAAGTTGGGTTTTTACCAGTATAAACCATAGGAAAAACCTGGTAAATACTATTAACCCATGTTTATTCACTTACAGATATAGTGGTTTGTTATTTATATCTGATAGCAATATTAATTCCATATTATAGCTAATATCAGTAATTACATAATGTATATTTATATATAGTATGTATATCAGCAAGTAGTACACCATTGGACAAGTGATATGATGTAAATTGTAAATGTAAAACTAATTTTTCACATTAGCAGTTGAAGCATATCTTCTCACTATTGATAAATGTATTAGATTTTCAATATAAGCCGATAACCATGAATTTAATGTTAAAATTATAGTTGTAAATTATATTATTGTATTATATCATTGTTTGTGTAACATAACTTTATTACAGCTGCATTTATATACAGAAAATAACCGAATAACCCAAAAGCTTAAATAAGCTGAATTTTGGAATTTTATAGAAAATGAATTAATATTAATAACAATTTGTTTCTTTTTTTTTATAAAAGAATAATTAGAATCTACAGTAGTAATAAGTGTACTGTAAAATATGGATTTATCTTGCCTATCTTTTGTCATTTATTTTTATAAAATTAGATTACGAAAAGAAACTACTTATTTCACTTTGTATGTGCACTTTTAAGATCGAAATTTTCCAAAATAATCATTTGTTCAAATGAATTCAAATGTAATTTTTTATGTATGACTCAAGAATCAGTGAAATACAAAAATGATTATCAATGCTGTATGCATTAAAAATTAGAATAACACTGTTATTATCAAGACCACTGACAATATATAAAATACACAAATGTTTTATTTTGGCTAAAAGTTAGATTAATTTATAAATTAATATATGATAAACGTTGAAAAAAAAATCTGTATCAAGAACATCAGAACCTCAGAAAATTAGGAGGAAATAATACAAAAAAAAGAGAGACTAGACGAAATCAAGACTATTTTAGTGCAGAATATTCTTTAAAAAAATAGAGAAGGAAGAGAAAGCAACTAAAAGATTATAATTTATTAAAACATCTATCTAAATGTTATAGTTTTTATAATGTTGAATATGAACAATGCGCATGTGCAAGTTTTTCTTTCAACAAATCAGTGACATTCAAGAACTTGGAAAGTGTCGACGAATCATCCAATTTCTTGGACAGAAAAATCCGTCCAATTTCTCGGATTCAAGAAATTGGATCGTGTAAACAGGTCTTTACAGTCAGATGAATGAATAAACAAACAAAAATATCGGATTGTTTTCAAGAAAAACGATTTTCGGGTATGTTTGTGATCTTATTTTATTTCAATTAATTATAATATTTAACCATAATTGACCTATCTACAAATTAATATATACATTTATAGTTAATACATATATAACATTGAAATTTAAAAAATCTTGTTGTGTCACCCAAGTATGTAGGCTCTCGATTTAACAATATATGCCTCTATAACAATATATTTATTTGATCCCAAAAATTTTGTTGTAGCGAGGTTTTACTGTATTACATTTTATTAACTATCTCGTGTTCAAGATTCGGTTGTGGAATTTTGGTATTACATTTCTGAACTTGAACTGATAAATTATTCATCGGTATTTTGCATCGTAATTTTAACGCATTATCAAAACATATGTGTGTAACATTGAAACGGAACAAAATATCTAACCGGGACTTGATTTTCCTTACAGTATAGATTTCCAATTATCATAGCTAGTTTGGAGCAAACGATTATTTGAAGTTGAAAATCGATTATGGAACTATTTAGTTGCTGTTATTTCGTTACCGGACGCCATTTTTTTAAAATAAAATATTGTTCTTTAATTTTTAGCTTTTCATCATGAAGGATTTTGCAAGTTAGTCTTTCTTGTTTTTTTTTTTATTGATTCATTAGCATATTTTAAACTAGTTGCAAAATAAATATCAAATACTTAACTTCAATTAAAATTTTATAATGCTTTGGGAGTTCAAAGTCCCATTGGGTTTTATGTTCGTAAAATCAATATTTTACAAGTTGTTTTGAGGTTAGTTACGTGTTTTTGTGTTTTAATTATGCAATTTTTTTAACTTTATGTGGTTTTGCTGCACTTATAAGGATATTTATGCATGATTTGCTTTTTCTACAAAAAGTATAATTTATATCTAAGCTCATTATTTTATTTTTTTTAAAGGTATATTCAGTTGAAGATTAAGCTCGACAAATGACCCTGACAGTTAAAGACATTAAATTTATATGGGCTGAAATTCCATCAGATCCTGACACATCAGAATGCAAAATATACAATTGCGAATATAAAAACTTCAAAACTGTGAATGATAATAAAGTTTTTTTAAAATTAATTTCGTTATAAATGTTGATTTCATTTTAATTCTAATTGATCTTTGAATCGTTAAAAAATTGAGATGTACACGAATACCATATGTTTAATCTCTGAAATAAACTACCTTACTAAAAGAAAAAATGCATTTTTCAAATTAGTGTTTCCGGATCGATGAATTTATTGAACACTTTAAAAAGAAATTTTGCGAAAGTCACGAATGCATGCAGGAAAGTCCGAGGTGGTTCCACAAACACTTGCAATTCGTAATAATGGAAAATATTCAACAACTCACACTTTTTTAATACCCTTAAATACACTCTGGGCAGCCTAAGTAATAATAGTTCTAATTCTACCTAAGTAATAGGTAGTTCTGTCACTATTGCCTCTATCCTATTGAATTCATGATGTTTCACGGTTATTGAGTGGCAACGCCAAAAGTAATAGTAGTTTGACTCACTCTCACAGGAATAATGTTAGTTGTCAAAACGCAAAAATGCTAGGCACCTTTTTTTTTAGGGATTTCCTAGGAATAGAAAAAAAATTGAAATTTAGCCGTTATATATACATATATATATATAAAAAATAAGGAGAGAGAGAGAGATTTTGAGTTATAATCATTGAGTTAATTGTGCATTAAAATTAATACATTTACATAAAAATCTTTTAGTTAATTGATAATTTTTAATGTACAAAACCAATTCGGATAAAATTCGTGGCTAAAGATATATATATATATATATATTCGTGGTTTTCCTCCCCATGTAACGCACATGTGGGTCAGTTACAAAGTTAGAAGGCTATGGAGTTCCACAATGAGAGTCGTAGAGTCAGAATTGATTTGGCTGTTCAACATCGGTTGTTAAATAAATTTATTATAAATTAAATTAAATCGGTTTATGTTTCCGATCATGTACGTGACTTAATTGAAAAAATTTACATTCTCATGATAATACAACCTATGACTTTTCAAAAACATCGCTCCTTTTCAAACTAAAATTATCATAACAAATGACCTTTAAAGTTATATGCAGGAACATTAAGATGAATGTGAGAACATTACAGTTGTATTCGATATATATATATATCGAACCAATCTATCGATATATCTTCCACCTACAAGTTACTAATTTAATTTATCTTAATTTTTTGCAAAAATTTACACTTTCGAACAAAGCAATTTTTTTTTTTAAAAATGTCAAGTCTGACAAGTCGCTACTTCGTAACAAAATTTTTTGCATAAAAATTATTACTTGCACATTAAAGTACAAGTCATTAACTTTAAAACGCGCTAACGTAAATGACTTTACAATTTTTTTTGACCGAGATATGAGATTTTGAAAATGTTTCGCCATTTATAGTGAAAAGTGAGTTGTGGCAGTATTTTTGGTGTAAGAAACCTGGAATAGCCTAGATATTATTGCAAAAGCAAGAGCTTGTATTAAAAGTATGCCGCGAAGAATAAACGCAGTTATACAAGCAAAAGGACATGTTACAAAATACTAAGATTTTGTTATTATATTTGTTTTTGTAAAAATGTTTTTGAATTTTATAATAAAGTTAAATTTCTTGAGTCGTTTTTTAAAATTTTATTGCAATTTTATAAATAATGTTCTTGTTTGTAATAATGTTTTAAATAAAAAAACTTAATTAATCCGAATAAGAAAGTTGCAAAAAAATAATACTAAATAATTTTCGAATTCACATTAATTTTGTCAATATTCTTCATTAATATTCAATAAT